TTGTGTTTGTAATATTTTTTCAAGTTTTTTATTTCTTTTTTTTCGCTTTTTTTCCAAAGCGTTTTAGTTAACTTTTTGCGCATATAAATGCCAAAGCGATTATTTTGCAAACTAAATAATTGAAGCGTTTGAAATTCAACGCAAATTAGCAAAAATTTTACACGTTAACCATGCGCTTTTAAAGTCACGTTCATCGACAGTCCATCATGCCGTGTACTACATACACATACACGTACCTATATGTATGTATGCGTTTTCTCTCTTTGCAATTTCATGGAGATTAAACACCGACAATCGACCAGCAAGTCGAAATGCCAACAATTTCCGTTTTAGGGGATTTTCTTATTATTTTTTAAATTTTTTTCGACATGCTGTTATTGTAGTTGTTGCTGCCATTTTTAAACTGTTTTCTTCGTGGTTATTTGGTTGTCGAAAATTGTTACTGCCACTTAGTATATCACATTTAACAAGAAAAGAGTAGTAGTGAAAAAAGGTATAAAAAGTGAAAAAAGCTAACAAAAATAACAATGAATAGAGCGAAAAAATATACATAAAGGTAAAACAAACCAAAAAAAAAGGTAATAAAATAAAAAATCTACAAAAACAAGCGTTTGCCGAGAAATGACCGCCAACGGGGCAATAGCATTTAGATATACTTAACTTATGTATGTATGTACATATGTGCAGCAAAAGCTGCACGTTTGAGAAACCACAAATTGAAGCTTAGCGGCAACAAGCCCGTCTCCACCAACAACATCACCAGCACACATGTGGAATCGTTTGAATGTTTGGTTGGTTGGTTGTTGGTAGCGCTTTAAGCGGGCGCCTGCAGGTAGCTAATGGCGTGACATGTTGGCCCGGCCATTCGCCGCTGGACCGACGATTTGTTTTTCAAGCTTGTATTTTTGTCTAATTTGCTTTTATTTTTTTTCCACGAGCTCAAAAAAACCAGTTTTATGCTGTTTCTAATGCTACGGCGCTGTTGTTTGCTGCTCCTTTTGAAAGTATTCGTTTATCGTTTTCATTCTTGATTCTTTGGTTATTTTTATTTTTTATCTTGATTTGGAATTTACTTTTATTTAATTAATTATTTTAGTTTTCTACAATTTTTTTTAATATTAATTTTTAGATATTTTTAATATTTATTTTTCATTTATTTTATTTATTTCAAATTATTATATTTTTATTCATCGTTCATGTTTTTTACTTTTGAAATCTTTAACATTATTTTTTTTCGAGTTGTTTTTATAATTTTATTTTAATAATTTTTTACATCATCGAAATGGCCGCCTCGCAAAATTTTGCAAACTTCTATCCGCTTGAGCTAATTTGGCACATTTTGGGCGGTATCTCAGCCAGAAACTGATGAATTTCGGTTTTTAAGTGCCCGAGAGTTGAAGGTTCATACAAGGGCTCCCGGGTAGCTCCACAAAAAAGTAGTTCAAAATTGTCAAATTGCACGATTTCGGTGAACAAACAAATTTCTACTTTTATTTTTTTTTTTATAATAAACAAAAAAAAAATATTTTCTAATTAATTTTGTTTTACTTTTTTTTGCACGCATAAGTAATATTTTTGATTTTTTTTTTCTAGTTTAGTCTTTTATCATAATTATTATTAATTAATTTCTTTTCATTTATTTGTTGCTATTTTTTGTTTTTTTTTTTTAGTTAGTCTTTTATTATAATTTTTATTAATTAATCTTTTCTCATTTATTTGTTGCTATTTTTTGTTTTTTTTTTAGTTTAGTCTTTTATTATAATTATTATTAATTAATTTCTTTTCATTTATTTGTTGCTATTTTTTGTTTTTTTTTTTTAGTTTAGTCTTTTATTATAATTATTATTAATTAATTTCTTTTCATTTATTTGTTGCTATTTTTTGTTTTTTTTTTAGTTTAGTCTTTTATTATAATTATTATTAATTAATTTCTTCTCATTTATTTGTTGCTGTTTTTTGTTATTTTTTTCTTGTTTAGTCTTTAATTATAATTATTATTAATTAATTTCTTTTCATTTACTTGTTGCTATTTTTAATTTTTATTTCTCGTTTAGTCTTTTATTATAATTAATATTATTTAATTTCTTTTCATTTATTTGTGGCTATTTTTAATTTTTATTTCTCGTTTAGTCTTTTATTATAATTTTTATTAATTAATCTTTTCTCATTTATTTGTTGCTATTTTTATTATATTTATATTTTTGCTATCTCATTTTTGGCGCTCGTATTTTTTTATTTGTTATTTTCTAGCACTCATCTACATATCTAGATATATTTATTTTGTTATGTACCTCCTTTTTAACCAGTTCTCACCAGATTTGTTTTATTTTTTGCTTTTTTAATTCAATTTGGCGTCACCCCTCAAGGTCGGTGATTTGCCTGAACTACATACACACACAACACACACGCCACTACTCACCTTACCGTCACACAGTACGTCGCCTTTTAATTATGCCTTGCCTTGCCTCAACTTCTAACCACTTGTCCGTCTGTCTGTCTGTCTATTTGTGTTTCTTTCCCGCCGCAACTCAGATTAGCAAATTGTAGACACGTTCCGAATACTTTAAGCTCGCATGCGATTTCTCTCACATAACTATCTTTTTTATTTTTTTTTTTTTTGTTTTTATTTTTATTTTTTGCTTTTTTCATATCTTTGTTTTTTTTTACTCTCTGCTTTTGTTGTCTGCCATACTTTATCTGCCATAAATTCTTATTATTGCTTTGATGACTTTTTATTTGTCTATCAACTATTTGCAAAATTCGATAAAGAGATAATAGAAAATTATAAGATTTTGCTTGCGATTCCCAAGTGGACAAAGAGATAAAATGGAAGATAATTATAAAAAAAAAAACAGCAACAAATTGAAATCATCGCTTATGCTTGGCGCTCATTAATCAAATCTAGATAATATTTATTTCATTTAAAATGCTTTTGTTATTATTATTGCTATTTGAAAATGTGAAATATTCAATAAGCATTGGATATTGATTTGAATTTAATAATTAATGCAAATATATGCTTATATACGCTTCATGCATACAAATTATATTTATAAGTAAACAAATAAATGCAAAATTAAAAAAATATAAACAGTAATAAACTGAAAAAATTTACAATAAAAATGTCATTCATCTTTTTCAATCAATTTATGCAAATCACCGTCATTGACGTTTATTAAAATATGCATACATACGAGTATGTACATCAGTAAATAAATATTTTCCACGAATAACCTTAATTATGCTATATGGTTTTCTCTTACGCTTGTTTTCGCCTAAATTATGCAAATGAGAAAGAGTGATTCATGAAAAAATAATTTTTTCAGCGAAAAATTAAAATATGCATATGGTTATTTCTACGGATAAGCGTGGATAGTTTATTTATAGCCTGTTTAGTATATATAGCAATAAACTGAATTGAAATTAACACTTTTTGTGCACAAAACTGTCAGCGGATAAACCCGGATAATAGTATTTAAACTTGATTTTTTTTTATTTTCCAATAAATTTGCATCATGCTCTCTTTTTTTGCAAAGAATGACGACCGGATAAATTCGGATAAGCGTGGATAAATTTTTTATAGCTGTTTTAGTATATATAGCACTAAACTGTATCAAAGTTGAAACTTTTTATGTATAAAAATGTCATCAGATAAATGCAGAAAATAGTATTTGAGTTTGATTAACTTTAATTTCTAGTATACTTGCATGTTTTTGCCAAAAACAGCAGTCGGATAATATGTTTTTCATTGTGGATAAAAATATGGGCTGTTGGATACAATTTTTTAGCATTGCTATAGCTTAATTATGCTCGGATCGTGTACTTACTAATTATAAAATTTATTTAAACCATTTTCGGCTTCGAAATTGTGGATAATAAAGTTTCTAGACCCTTCAATTCTCCCAGATGAACACGGGAAAAGTACTTATTAGGTGTTTCTCTTACTGCAAAATTTCCTGGTTGGGTGCGGAAAGTGCTTATACTTTAAATAAGTTTATAAGGAAAGTGCATTTATAGTTTTTGCCAATATTTGAATTACAAACGCTATATAACTGATTATAAAAAAATTATGCAAACTTGGTTTTATTAATAAGCGTAATTTATGATTGGTTATAAACTCTATTGCCTTTGAGAGACAACTGTTATAATTGCTATGTAAATTATAAGACCATATAATTCACTGATTATGTAAAAGTGTAGTGATTACTTTTTTTAAAGAAAGAAAGTAGCGTAGAATCTCCTAGGATAAATGTAATTAACACTTTATGGCCTTCTGTTATATTTTTTTTTGCATTAAATCTCTTTCGGATAAAAATTCTCTCATCAAGACTACCCCGGATAAACGCGGATAAAAAAATTCTTATTACATATATAATTTTCCTCAAATCCCCCAATATATTCTCTGTTTATTGGTATAAAAATTTGCTGGGATAATTTCCTAAAGTTTACCATGAGTTTTAAAGAGTTAAAATTTGCAAGAGTAATGTAAAATGTATAAACCGGATAAACGTGAATAAGTGAATAAAGTAATAAAAACACACTATGGCCTACTATGTATTTTGAGAGGTAAAATTCTTAAGGTTAACTTGAAACATTCATTCCGGATAAGTGTGGATAACGAAATTATTTTTAAAAACATGTTCTCTCATGAGGTGGGTAACGCTGGGTTCGAAAACATGTACGGATAATTACAAAAAACACAATAAGAGTTGATGTAGTTAAAATTTAGCAAAAGTAATGTGAAATAGTTATTTCTAATAAATGCGGATAAGCAAATTTAAATAATATTAACTCGTACTTTTGCGTTGCTACCCTGGCCACGCTACGGATATGAGAATTTTAAAGCTTTACTGCTATTGAGGGTAATTTTGACAGCTCGGATAAACGTTTTCTGGGCAATATTCAACGTGATTTTTTTAATTGCATATTTTTATAGTTTTTAACAGATTTTTCTTCGGCTAGTTGTTATTAAAGATTTGTGTTTCCTTTCTTCTTTTTAGGGCTCCATCGAAGAATGGCTACAACTCTTACGTCTCGAAGAATACATACAACCATTGTTGGATCAAAATTACAAAACTGTACGCGATGTAACCCAGGTCACTTGGGAAGACTTGGAAGATATTGGTATTGTTAAATTGGGGCATCAAAAGAAAATACTTTTAGCCATAAAGCGTGTTAAGGATATTATTAGCGGAAAATGGAATCCAGGCGGCATTAATGCCTATCAGCAACAGGTGAGTGGAATGGTGAAAATAATAGAAGAGAGAAAGAGAGAGTTAAAGAAAACAAAGCATAATTCTTTTTGTTTTTTTTCTTAAATTTTTATTCATTATTTATAAATTGATTTTTTATCAATTGTTTTTAAAATGGAAGTTGTACAATTTTTTATAAAATTATTTATTTTATAAAATTAATTTTTTTTGTACAATTAAAATAAATAAAATTAACTTTTTTAAATATATGTATAACTTTTAAAAATTTTTTTTTCAACTCTCCATTTTTTTGTTATTTTAATTATTGCCATTACATTTATTTTATATTTAAATATACAGAAAATAATTATTTTTCTCTTAATTTAATATATTTTATTTTTCCCCATAATTTTCTTCTCTTTTTCGGTTATATAAATTTTTATTCAATTCACGCTTTTTCTGTTGCTGCAATTATACTCTTTACTCGCCCGGCCGTCCACATACATTTATTCAAAATCAAAGGATTATCGCAATAAAATTTGGCCCAGTGCCGTGCCACTGCCCACCACACCAACCTATTTGCCAACCACGCGCGTCTCGTGGGACGATTCTAAGATTTATGCTACGCCCGGTGTCGATGCCGTCTACTTTTGCAGTGGCAATCATCAGCACGAGTGTTGCTATGGCAACGATGTGGTGCCGATTAAGGTGAGCGAGTGCACGAATTGCATACCTACAGCTAGCTGGCGAGCGTGTGTAGGCGGCGTTTAATGGCAAACGTGCAATTTTAGGCTTTAAATAGTTTTAAATTCATTTCTTTATAAAGCCATTTATTTTGCTCATTATTTTATTTCAATTTTCTGTATTATTCATTTTTCTTCATTAATTTATTTATTTTATTTTTTTACTTGTTTTCACACAATCAACCCACGCTGTACTCAACTTTATTTTTAAAAAAAAATTAACTAACATAAGAATTTTTCTCTTCAACTCTTTTCCTGCTCTTCTCACCCACGCACGCGCGCGCGCTTATTTTCTTCCACTTAGGTGCGCCAGCCACGCGGTAAAAGCTTAGAATCGCTCGAGGACATTCACGACAATAGCACACGCAGCCATTTGACCTTTAGCCATTATACGGCCACTGATTATGGCCACTTTGCGCATCCAACGCCCGCTATGCAACAGCAACATCATCAGCAAGCCTTGCAACATCAACAGCAACAACAACACCAACATCAGCAAGCATTACAACAGCATCATCAGGCAGTTTTGATGGGTGGCGTCGGCGGCGGCGCTGCTGTTGTGGGCGGCGGTGGACCAGGTGTTGCTGGTGGTGCACGTTTGCTTAGCAATCAGGCTGCCATGGTGAGTTTCAAAAGTATTAAAGTGTAAAGTGGGCGTAAGATTTATCAATAAAATTTGCTTGAAATTCCAAGAAAGCTTAGTTGTGCGAAAAAAATTAGTGTTTGCGCGTAAATTACAAATTTTTCATTTAATGCTCATAAACGTTTTCAAGCATGCGGATAAACAATTTTCACATTCGGATAAAAGCGGATAACCTTTTCGTTGCACGGGATAATTTATTTAAGCCCATTACGATATTAGAGCGTTTAAATTTTATAAAATAGTTTTCGGATAAGGCCGCAGAAATTTTTTCCTTGTTGGGCTAACTTAATTTTCATCACAAATCTTTCGGATAAGCTTGATTCTTCTCGTATAAGCGCTGATAAAGTAGATTTTAATTTTTTAGTACAATTTTTAAGAGTTCATGCTGGATACATACCTTATTGTTCGGATTATTTATTTTGCCACACAAACCTTACGGGTAAGACTTTTATGCATCAGTCATAAAATTTGATAATGTTTATTTGTCTTTTTCACGATAATCATGTTTAATTTTTGCCCAAAATCTTATTTTTATGAAAAAATTGATTCCGGATAAAATTTATTTTTAACGATTAATTTTTAAAAGTTAAAAGTTCGGATAAGCCCATTTCCTGCATAAGAAAATGTTGGATTTAAAATGTTTCCTCACGAGTTGCAATATTTGTTTTCGGATTACGTAGGTTGAGACTTTTTATTGTTCAGATAATTTATTTTAGGCCACAATCCATTCGTATAATCCTATTTATACGAAATTAACCTTAAACTTTGATATTTTTGTTCTCGGATAACCGTGGATAAAATATTTTGTGAACTGAATTTCTTCATTTTAATTATTGTAAGCATTCGAATAAAGTTTTTTATCGAAACCCATTCATCTATACTGCCTCGAATGCCGGATAATAATTAGTTTTTACTAAAAAATAATATCTAGAGAAAAAAAATATTTTCCTTGACATAAAAATGATTTTCTCACTCCCGATAAAACTGGATAACGTACTTCCATCAATTGCATTTATAATTTTTACATCTTCTCTTCCCAGGCTTGGCGCCGTTCCTACGATGATGGCGACATCACGCCCACCAACGACGCTGCACGCGAACTCATGTACGAAGAGGGTGGCGGCACACTGCCACGGCAGCAACGTGGCATACTACAACGTGCCGTATTGAACAGCATGCCACCACTCGAGCATCACTACATGAATGCAGCTGCCGCAGCGGAATATGTCTGTCACGCCGGCGGATTGGGTGGTGTAGGCGTTGGCGTTGGCGGCGTGCCAGGTGCGGGCGCGCTTGTGGGTGCTGCTGGCGCAACGGGTTGTGCGTTGGACGGTGCCGGTCTGAATGCAGTGAGTAACTCCTAAATATACATATATCAATTACGTTTATTTTTATAATTTTTTTTTATTTTCTTTCCCACCAGTCCTACCTGACCGGCAGTCCAATGAGTAATAAGAAAATTGCACCAGAACCACCGCGTCGCCATTGTAGTATACGGAATTCGCGCACGTTAAGCGCGGATGGCGCGCAGCAACAGCAACAATTGCAACAACAACAACAGCAACTGGCTATGCATGCTGGCACAGCCGTAACGCCTGGTCTCTACTATGGCGGCGCTGCAGGTGCACTGCATCACGGCAGCATGTATATGACGCATGCACAGCAACAAGCCGCAGCAGCAGCAGCGGCGGCAGCTAATCAACCGATCTATGCGAATTACGCAACCATACAACAGACCACGGCGGAGATACACTGCGAGAAATTCCATGACAATAAGGTCTGTGTATGATTTTTGAGTGCAAAAAAAAATATTTTAATTTTATTTTTTCTTCTCTCTCTCCCTCTCTTTCTCTCTCTCTACGCACCGCAGTCAAACTCCAGCATCGATTCCATTGATACCATACCGTTCGCCAACGAGAATACCGGCACCATCAAACAGCGTTTACTAAATCGCCAAGACATGGCTGGTCAACAACAGCAACTACAATCAGGCAACACACCACATCTGCACTCCTCGTCGTCGTCCTCCTCCTCCTCGTCGACCAACACCATCGCCAATATAGCGCACTCTTTTCACTCGCTAAAGACATCTGCCTCGCTGCATGACGCCTCGCTGATACGTAGCGATAGCATTGGTAGCACTACAAGTGGCGGCAGCGCTGGCGCCACCACAGGCAGTAGTGGTCTCTTACTTTTACGTTCGCCCACCCTACAATATCCACCGACTGATGCAACAAATGCCACCGTTGTCGTCGGCTCTGCAACGACTATCACCACCACCGTAGATTTGCATACGCCTAGTGGCGCTGCCGCTGAGTGCGCTACGGATGCCGCCAGCGATGGTGTGCTGCCAAAGGCTGGCAGTGGCGAGGTTGCAGATGCAACTGGTGCCACAAGTGGCGTTAGTGGTGTGACAAATACAACACCAGGTCAGAAGGTTTCGGTGAATGTGCTCAATGACATTGGTAATATGTTGGCTAATTTAACGGACGAATTGGATGCCATGTTGGAGGAGGAGAAACGTATTGGTTTAAATATTGATAGTGAATAAGCGCAAAGCGTCACAGACACAGGTACACACACACACACACATACACGCACATATATAAGTTGTAGGAATTTATCGTTATGTATGTATGTAAAAGCGTGTGTCCAATAGGGAAATGGGATTTAAATGTTAGTGGGTCATATGTTTACATATAGATTGTTAGTGAATCATACGCGCGCTGACCGGCTTGAGTGCCAATGTGAGGGGAAATTTAAATTATTCAAATTTGTTTGCCAGAATTACTTTTTTTTACAACTTTTCATATCTTTAAGAAATCGAAAAGTTGAATTAGGACTCAAGAGAATGTTGTTTTTGTTGTTTTTGTAGCCGCTAAAAACAATTCCCAACGTATTTTTTGAAGAATATCGCAGGGGTGTCAGTCCATGGCCGAATAAAAATCTGAGTCATTCCAACATAAAGACCCGACCACCGCAGAAACCTTTGGATTAAGTCCCCGTGAAAGTCTTAAACAACTACCCCGCAGGGACGAGGAGTCAGGATAATACTAAGATATGTTAACTCGCTACTTTTTCGGATAGGACTTTCCAAGCTTTCTAAAAAATTTGATCTTATAAGCGATTTATTTCCTCACTTCTGAAAATAATCCGTAAAAAGGACTCTAAAAATACTATTTTGGATCTTTCGAACTACTTTTAATTGATTTGTTTCAAAAAATAGTTTGATTTCATTTACGTTCGTAGCTTATTTTTGACATGAAATCCATTCGGTGTCCGGCTTAGAATAAATAAATTGTAGGTTTCTCCATTTATTAGATATATAGTTGGGATATATAATTTCTGAAATGAGCGCTAACGGTAATTAATTTCATTTTTCATATACTTTTCCATTAAAAAAATTTGAGCATTTAAATATTATGTATTGAAATTTTGAAAGTTTTTACATAAAAAATTTTATGAAGTTCCCTCAAAGGGTCGGCGTGCGCATGCGTAGTCTAGTTGCGTTTACTTCACTTGTGTGTCTTAGTTGTTAGTATTTTTTTCGGTTGAAGACTTTTATAAAAAGTGTGTAGAATTCATAAATTCCCCTAAAACATTTTTTTTACTTACTTACAATAGTTGTAAGTATATAAAGTATATATATGTATAATTATTTTATAAACGCATTTTGGGAGCGTAAATAAAATCGGCATTTTTTTTATATACATACATATATACAATATTTATAGACAATGTATTCTGTATGTGTATACATTTTGTATTGTTGTTTTTCTTTCACTTTTTGTTAGCGTAGTTAAAAAATAAAAATTGTAATAGAATTGTACAATAAGAACTGCTGTTATGGTGGATGCCGAATTTATTATTTCTTTTATACATAATTCAATTCATTGTTAACTAAGATAAGCCGGATAAGTGAAAGAATATGGTTTGGAAAAATTATGTAAATTATTATTCAAATTACCAAACATTTTCATGCAAAATTTCCTATTTTAATTAATTAGTTTTAATTTTAATTTTTACAAAAACATTCCAACTTTTTTTTTAAAGAATTGTAGAAACATTCCGAGCTGATTATAAAATATTCTATATTTTTTTCTTTTGAAATTAAATTCCTTCTGCGTGGTTTGAGTAGACAAAGTTTCGAATTTTCAGTTTTTTTTGGAAAAAACATAAGTTTTTATAAATTTTTTTAATGCATTCCTTGTTAATAACAAAACACTCGGTTTTCTAATAAAATTGAAATAATGATGAGAAGAGTTCAAATATTTTAATTTTTTAATAGAAAAAAATTTAATAAATTAAACAAAAAAATCTAATATTATTTTCCCCCGAGGAAAACAAGATATACCCTAAATACGACATAAAATAGCGAAATTTCTAACATTCTAAAATATTTTAAATATTTTGGGAAAGAAAAATTGGCAATATTTCTGTCCAAAAATATTTTAAAATTTTATTGTTTTTAAAGTTCTTACTTCTAAAATGTAATATATAAATTTGCAAAATTTAAAATTATTGTACGGAAATTTTTTAAAATTGCTATATTCGAAACTTTTATAAAAAAAAATCGAAAATTAAAAATCTTTACCAAAATATCAACGTACAAAAGTTTTATATAAAACACGCACTTAAAAAAAATTAAAATTTTTACTACATATTTAAATTTTGGAAAGTACTTTCTACTTTTTTTCTTCAATTGCTCGACGGTTTTTTGACCAAAAATTACTTTCGTCAATCACAGAAATTTATTAAATTCTAAAATTTCTAAAGTTCTAAACGGAAATAAAAATATTCACATTTATATTTAAATATTTGAATTTCGCAAAGTACTTTTTTTAACCTTCAGAAAGTACTTTCAGCAGATTTTCTTATAAAAAAAACTTCGAGACTAGTTCACAGTTCATTTGAATGAAAATTCTTAAAAAGCATGCTCGGTATAAATTTGTAAACAAAACTTTATAATAAAATATTTAAAAATAAATTCCCTAGAAATCTCATATTCACAATAATTTTTTGAAAGTACTTGATTGAATTTTACAGAAATATTATTAAATAAAATCGAAAATTTATACGTAGTTAAATGAAAAATTTAAATTTTCACTAAAATATTTAAATTTCAGAAAGTACTTTCGATTAATTTTCTTAGCAAAAAAAATTTCGAAACTATAGTTTCCAAAGAGTACATTTAAAAGAATATTGGGTACTAATGTAATAACGCCAACGCAGCAATACATTTGTGTAAAACTTTTATGCACATTTGATGGTCTACAGAATTTTAAGAAACAAATATTGTAAAAATTTTGTTTAAAAAAAATCAAATTTTAAACGTACTTAAATGAAAAATAAATTTTTTCTCGAGAATATTTAAGTTTTTAAATTTCGGAAAGTACTTTCAGAAGATTTTCTTAACAAAAAAAGGTAAAAACTGGATTCAAAATAGTTTATTTGAATGAAAATTGTGACAAAAAAACATGCGTACCGGAAAGATTTTTGCAAAAGTTATCCGCAATTGTTCTAAATTCTTATAGAAAAGTTAATAAGTTTTCATTTCACAAACTTTCTGCAAATACTACCAAACAGCAGTTCTAAAATTGAAGCGATTTAAATTAAATAAAGGTAGAAAATAGCATATGTAAAACAACATAAATACTTTAAGACATCAAGTATATTTAGAACAAGATACGAACAAGCAACAAAAATAACAAACTACAACAGCAGCAAATTTAGCATTAAAATTGACAAAAATAAATAAACTAAAAGTTTGTAAAAGCTTTTAAAAATACAAAAAAAGTATACTTTTGTACTATTTAAAATAAACAACAAAAAACTAAATAAATATATACATCCATATATATAAATATTAATAAATTAAATTAAATTTAAAATTAAAATTAAACTAAAAGAAAATAAAAAATAAATAAGTGTTAACATTATTTAGTGGAAATATAGTGAAAGGTGCATAAACTTAAATTTAAATGGGTAAATCTAAAAAAAAAAAAAATCTGCAAAATAACTTAAGCCATAACTTCAGAAAATCATTACTGTTTCCATTATTATTTAAACTTAAGCTGCGGCTATTAATTTGTCTACAAACAAACATACATATATACATGCATAGAAAGTGCGATTTTCAGCAATAAGAAATGTCAAAGACATACTACTATTGTACTAGTACATACATGCTTAAAGAGGGGGAAAATGAAAATGTATAGCTGAATTGAAATCATATATACAAACATACATAAATCACACACATCAAATGAACACGATCGTATCAATAAATTCGATGTATTAAGGCTAACGTTAATTTAAATAGCATTATAACAGAAGCTATATGAAAACTTTAATAAAGAAATAAATTAAAAAAAAATAAAAATAAAAAGAAATCATTTCCATAGACTTTATAACAAAAAAAAAAATAAAATAAAATAAATAAATATTTATACATATATACTATACATACATGTATGCGTACTATCTTTAAAATAGTAAAAAGAAAAATTATTTAAAAAAATCAAAAAAAAAACGACAAAAAAAGCACAGTAAAAAAATCATACGAAAAAATTGCAAGCAAAAACAAAAATGAAAAGTACAGTGTGCGAAGAAATGCAAACAACCAACTAACTGGAAATATTAATTCAAATTCAGAAATAGAAATATAAATATACATATAATAGGCGTTTATAGAATTAAAAATAAAAAGAAGAAAAGAAAGATTGAAAAAATTGAAGCGCGAAAAGCGCCGACATACTGTTTAAATTATACGTTTTTAATCAATTTTTTGCCTTATTTTAAAAATTATTTCAATTTTACATTCCATTTGTATTCCAAATATGATGAAATAACAAGTGTAAACGTCGCTTTATGCAGAAAATTTATGTTTTCATAATTTCGTGTGTATTGCTATTAAATTAATTATTAAAGTAAAGGTTAGGATAGTTTTTTTAATGTTTTCTATTAGTTTTCTTTTATTAATTTTACTATTTTTTAATATCTATTTTTTAATACTTTCTCTTCTTTTTAATATTTTTTATTTTTGATATTATCTATTATTTTAGTATATTCTATTTTTGAATATTTTCTATAATTTTCATTTTCAATTTATGTTATTTTCCTTTTTTTTAAATTTTTCATTTCTAATTTGCTATTGCACTTCATATTTTTAGTTTTTTAATATTATCCGTCTTAATATATTTTAAATTTTAATATTTTCTATTATTTTTTTTTTAATATTTTCTATTATTTTTTTTTTAATATTTTCTATTATTTTTTTTTTTTAATATTTTCTATTATTTTTTTTTTTAATATTTTCTTTCATTTTACTTTTCTATTTTTTAATGTTTTTTGTTGTTTTCTTTTATTTTTAATATTTTCTATTTTAGTTGTTTTATATTTTTGAATATTAAAATATATATATCAGAATTTTAATTTTCTACTTTTTCTGTTATTTTAATATTTTGCATAATTTTTATTTTGTATTGTTTAATGTTTTCTATTATTTTTTTTTAATATCTTCAATTTTGATTTTGTTATTTAATGTTTTCTGTTATTTTTTTATTTTTTAATATATTTTATTATTTTCCTTTCTATTCCTTAATATTTTCCATTTTGATCTTATATTTTTTGTTTGTTTTCTATTATTTTTATTTTCTTTTCATATTTTTTTATTATTTTTCTTTCCTATTTTTTAAGATTTTAAATTTTTTTAATACTTTTTTTCACACAATTTTTGCTGTATTTTTTTTATGAATAATCGAGTAAAATGTGTTATTAATGCTCGTTGTAACGGTGTTTTTTTATTATCAGTATGGAATTTTAATTCTTTATTTTTTTATTTCCTTATTTTTAACATTTTAATAATGAATAAGCAAACAAAAAACCAACTTAAAATCAAAATGATTATGTAAGTGTTATTTCCATATAAATAAATTTATATACAAGTAAAAATATTATAGCAAAAAATAATAATAATAATAAATATATGAAAACAAACGGACAACAAAAAAATATATAAAACATAAAATATGAAAAAAATGGAGGTTTTTCATTTTATTTATTCAATCTTTGATAACAGTTAACGCAAGCCAAGCAACTACTAGGAATCGTAGTTTTAAAGCAAGACACTCTATTCAAATCAACTGCGAAGTAAATGTAAATATGTAAGTAAGTAAGTACTCCTACCATCTCAAGTCAAGAATAGAGTCATCGGGAGATGCTGTGGAGAAAATGCTTTATATTGATGTTCTGTGATCTAGGAAACGTAAGTATATCGACAGCTATTCCAATCGACCCTAATGGCAGCCCAGTCTACGCACCGGAGTCGACACGGTTTTTAAACGATCAAGGGCTGTTACTTCTTTGGCAACCTAACAAGATTTAGATTAACTGGTAGATGAGTCTTTGTATATCAGCGAAGTAACACATGGCAACAGGTTTGCCTGTTCTTATCAGAACTGGTTCGACTAGGAGTACTAATACCACTTTGACATTGTCTGGCCAACGCACCACTTGTCAGAGAAGAGATGCAAAAGTTGTTCCATGTTGTAGAAATTTGCCGCCGCCCACAAAAACAATACTGTTGCCAACTAATAGAGCTACTTCAGCAAAAGACCCATCATCTCTCCCTTTATCCGTATTATTATGGACCATCTCCTACAATTCAACTGTAACGAACTACAGGGGAAGATTGACAGCCCGAGAGCACCAGCTGATGTCTGTGGTCCATGCAACCAAGCAAATGGTCCCATTTAAATCTTCTGAGCCGTGCCGGTTTCGGTGTCAGACGTTAGGATCGCGGAACAAGTTGTTACTATAATGTTAATAATTGCGCTATTCACAGCTGAAATCCAGTTGGTTCTGGGCGATATTTGTCATTCCATGCTACTAAATGACCGTAAAAGAATGGAGCTGGTAACGACGAAGTTTTCATCAGGGCACAGCAAAACATGACAATATATGCTGATTCTCGCATCAAACCGTTTCCCCATAATTGCCCCC